GAATCATGGGCACATTTAGATTCTGTGCGATGGAAAGTGTTTCTCTCTTGCGTCTCCTCTCAGACTTGTTGTGTTCTCCAACACACGTCAGCCGTTTAATCGGACCAGACGCTGTTTTCCAACGGTTGTTCTCCCTTAGTCTCCTTCCCGTACTGTCAGTCCTTTCTGAGAAAATCTCACTTCCCGTGTTCTCCTTTAGGGGAAGTAATATTGCAAGATCTTCATTTGCCATGGATTTGGAAGCCTGTCTAGACCTTCAAAAATGCCACGGCAACTTTATTGTTGCCTGTGGTTTTGAGAGCGCACTTAGCCCACCCCCTCCCGAATTCCTTTGTCGCTGGCCTTGTGCTTATTCTTTCTTTCGTTCTCTCTCTCTCTGTTTCTCAGTTTTCATTCTCTCTCTCTTGCTCTCTCAGTTTTTTCTCTGCTTGGCCTCTTTGGATCTGACATTTCTATCTCTCCTATTGTTGCTGTCATTACAAAACCTCTGAAATGGTAACAAGAGAAGGACGAACAACCTTAACTTGTAGTGTATGTATTGTAACAGTGTACTTTGAAGAGGCTACAGAAGAAATTGTATTGTATCAGCTCAGTAACAAATGCTTGTATCTCAGAAGTGGAAACTTAATTGAAAATGTATGTTAATTTAACAAGACTTCTTTGCTTCCTTTGGTCCATCCATCATGAAATGTTCACACAGTGTACAGTGCATGTTGAGTTTTGAGGTTAGAGTTAGAAGAATTTTAAATGACACTGACATTACACATCTCTCTTTCTTTCTTCTGTCTGTCTTTGGCCTTGTCCCCCTTTTTCTTTTTCTTTCCCTCTACCTGTGTTGGACCATCTCTTATTTATTCCCATTATGGAAGCGTTGTCAGAAAGTCACAATGCTAATATAAACTGTGTTTGGAGGGGACACAAGGCTTGGTCTTAGAGATGCTGTTACCTCTAAACATGGACCAAAGAACATCACACAGTTAAAAGTCTGAATTTTTATGGACGTTTGTCCATTTTCCTAGATAACAGTGCCAGAAAACATATGACCAAGTCTATTTGAGAGTACTTAAAAACACAACCTGGTTGTAGGCAGTTGTGTTATGATTTAGGCATGCAGCACACACTGCTAATTTACTTACTTGTTAGGTTCAGTAGCCTCATACATTTGGTACAGAACTAAAGAAACAAACTTTAGATACTAAACGTGTCTCGTCACTTTGTTGAGTCACCTCTCACACAAGACAAGTGTATTTATATAGCAAAGGCAATTCAAAGTGCTTAAGATAAACAAAAGCAAAAAAGAACATCAGAAGTAAATTAAAGTCCTTAAATGTGTAAAATAAGGACAATAAAAATAAATAAACAGCATTACTCAAGCCTTTTCCAGCAGGAGGATCACCACTTTTAAGGTATAAATCAATCCATGGGACAGCTGTCTAGCTTTTGTCGTGCATCGAGGTTCCCACCCTGCCTCTGTCGACTCCACACACTACAGTTCCCACAATTCTCTAGACTCTCAGACCACAGACACAGCCAATCACAAACAGCTTCCTAGATCCAAGTTACCTGATTATTGAACTAATGTGACCTGTTTCTCATTATCTGTCTGGGTATAAATACCTGTCTGTTTGAAGAGTTTCTTTGCAAAGTATTGCCAACCTCATGCATTGTGTACTAAGCATTGATCGCTCAGATTTTTTCTGTGTGTATGACTGTTTTTTCGTTTCTCGACGTGCCTTTGGATTCTCCTGTTTGATATTGCTGTCTCGGACTGGCTGTTGTTATGGTTTTGACCTTCGCATGTATTTGACTTACTCTTTTCGATTAGTGCCGTGTTTGTATTTTTGCTCATCTCTTTTCTGACCTGGTTTGGATTTGACACCCCTTTTGTTCATCTGCTCATTGTTAATAAATGCTCTTTGAACTGTGAGCATTTGATAGTTGGACATTTGTTACAGCATTGGACTCCAAATGAGTTGATTAAACCTTGCCTAAGCGAGAGAGTCTTTTCCTGAAGTGGATGAGGAAGATCACGGAGTTATTATCTTTCAGTGGATGAATGGCAGCCATAACTAGGCCTTTGTCCAGTGACTTTTAACCAAGTTACCATTGTAACAGCTCTGAGTGGTACTAAAAACTCATTTATCGTTGCTTTGAAAAAAACATGCCATTTGTTTTTTGATATTTACATGTAAACCAAAGGCAGACACTAGTATTTCCATAGCTAAACTCTGAAACATCCTGGGTGATGTGATACCTTAACACTACATTTATTGTACCCAATGCAGAAGAAATTGTTCTCTAAATGTGTCTCTTGACTTGAGCTGGTTGAATGCGCTCAGTACTGCAAATAGATATAATGCCAAAACAGCTTCAGTTTCAGTAAAATTATGTCCCAGCTCTCGTAGAATCAGGCAAAATGGCCCTTTTCACATGGCCATAGGTGAAGAAGGCAACAGGCTTAGCTAAGCTGCCTCAGGCAGGTAAAATTTGGGGAAATTCACAATTCAGTTTTGTATACTAGATTAATTACAGTTTCATGGTCAAATTAAAGATGAGAAAGTACTACAACTACAGCTTTTACTGAACTGCACGTTCACAAAGATCACGATTCAACTAATTAAAGTGACTAAAAAAGTTAGTTTTAAATTTTTGAGTCAATTGAACTTCAAATACTGAGTTAACAGAACAAAAATCTGTGTTTAATGCCTGTCAACTTATTATGTGAAGTTCAAAAACTAGCTAACTTTTAAAGTTGAAACCCCATTTTTTTACAGTGCATCACATGCTTTCATTATAGTGTAACGAATTGTCTCAAAATTACTGGACGAAAAAGTGTTACTACTATTATAATTTCTTTTTTTAATGAAGTAATACTGTGGTTATTTTCTATGCTGTTGCCCGTAGAAGAAATGAATTGCCAGTGTAAAGCCTAACCATAACTAGATTATACTTGAATTAATACAAAAAACCTCAAGGGCACATTAGTCAATCCTTAGGGATAACAATGTTAGCGTTGAATCTACAAGAGAGTGGATTAAGCCCAGGATGACCAATGCACAATTATATTGTATTCAAGCCCCACTGTGTTCAAGATGAACTACAGTCTTAGAGTAAGTGTAGAACACCTTTCATACTGTGAATGTGTGGCAGACAGATAATAGAGTGCATTGTGTGAGTTGCTCCAGACAGATGGAGCAGTCCTGGCTGGGCTAACCTGTCTGCACTGTGTCTGAACACTGTCCTCATGCTTCTGTGGTTACCAAGCCTATGAGGCGGACAGAGGCACATGGTATGGTTAGCCAGCATAGTAACAGGTTCACCAGGTGCATATTTGACGTAACTTAGTGGTTGTTTTGCTTGTTGCTCTCAGTGGTGGGAAAAGAAAAAACTTCTGAAAGGCCTCCCACATACTTTAAACTTTACTGTGAACATATGGACAAAGCATTTCATCTGTATGAAAATTATTGTGTGTTTGAAGTTGAGATTGTTATTTTTTTCACACTGTCTGTAAAAAAATGACATCAGACTGCAGTACGAGGTGACCTAGACAAAGTCCTACTGTGGTTACCATGTTTGATTGAGGATCCTGGCCCTTTTGGTCCTGTAATGTTGCTCTTGCAGAACGGCTGTCGTGTAGGTTGTTGGGAAAGGGTATGGACTGGTGCTGTGGCACAACCAAACTCAGGGAGCTGAAACACTAATGGCATGTTCAATTTGCATGAAATGGCAGTTTGCCTCTGAATGGGAATTATAATCACTGGCTAAATAAAATAATGCAAAATTAGAAAAGATACATTATGTCCATTGTTCACGATGTGCTGTTTGTGGAAGTCAGTTGTAATTTGTAAGAAATTAGACTGGCTCATTAAACTGCGTTTCGAAAGCTTGCCTGAAAAGATGCCTCCAATATTTGTCTGTTGCTGAAATATTGTTTTTAAATGGGAATTTGGCTGCTTTTTCAGAATTTTTGCATAATACAGTTAACAATATGTAAACAAAGCCATTCAGAGTGGTTTAATGCAAGAGGAATTTACAGAATCAGAATTGTTCTCAGTGGAGGTAGTAGGAGCCAGATGTCTGAAGCATGTAAAGCCTATAAGGACCTATCTACCCTTTGCATTTACTTGTATTTTTGGTGTTTTGACCACTTAAAGAAACAGGTGTAAACACCCCCAGGATGCCTCCTGATTAAATTGCTATCAGATCACTCAAACGACATTCGGAGGTGGTCAGAGACAGATCTTGACTACATTTAACACAAGTGTAAACAGAACGCGCTCTCGTTTTCCATATCTAACTATGTGAGTATCTGCCGAGCGCTGGGCAGCAGGTGAGAGAATAAACAAAACGAAAAATGGATGTTAACGCGAGGCTGAAGTTAACCCCAAACCAAGTGCCTTCAAACACTCCAGGCTGATGATGTTTACCCTTTTCCCCATTACTCGCATCGTAACAGGGAAAAGAGTAAACAAAAATATGTTTGAGCGTGTGTTGATGTGCTGCTTACATGGGAAAAGTACAGGAGGATTTCATTTGGGGACGCATTTTGGTGAAAGGTGTGAAGGGAATCTGGCCAAAGTATATGCAGATATGGTCTGGATACAATGCACATGTTAATGCAGGGTGTAAAGAGGCTCTAAAAGCTCCTTCACGGAAAGCTACTACACAAAATAGGATATGAATATGTTGCCAGACACTGAGACATTGCTTTATGATAGTTTTGATGGAGTCTTTTTGCCTAAAATGTACTTTTTGTAGGACACATGTAGGTTCGCTGGTCAGTTTAGATAGAGAATAAAATGGCTGTATTATGAGTATGTGTATATATCCCATTGCAACTCCTATCACCTCTAGTTTTCAGACCACTGAATGACTTTTTATATCGCAAGGATGAAATTATGTAGACTGTAAAAAAAAATCAGTGCAATTCCTCAATGACAGCATGACAGTAAAATGACATTTTTTGTTAACTCACTTCCTTTTCATCTGCTCTCTTCCAGCCTTACAATGTTACTGTCAGCGCTGCCCCAACTCCACGTGCACCACGGACGGCCTGTGCTACGTGTCCGTCACCAAATCTGCGAGTGTGACCTCGCAGCAGAGCTTTTGTATCAGTGAGACGGAGCTGATCCCGCGTGATCGCCCCTTTGTGTGCGCACCCTCCACCAAGGATGATACTGGCATCTACCCCATGTGCTGCAGCAATGACTGGTGCAACAAGAACCCTGACCCTAGCATATTCCCAGGTGAGAGTGCACAGAGAATGTGTCAGAGGCGCACTTTGAGCTGTAATACCTTTACACTTGCACGTTCTTCATGTCATAATTGTGGAGGATACTTTTCAAAATGTGTTTTGAATACATTTCTTTGTTAGTTTGCAGTAAAGTAATATACTAAATAGAAAGCTATTTAGATTTAGCTATTTAGATGTGTTATTCGCCTTTATAAGCAACGTAGTTGGTTTCCTGGTACGTTAAATCTGCAACGAGAGACTGTCAAACACTAAAAAGTTGCGAGGCTGATGTCGCTTCTCTTTTGAATTTTCCCATTCCACCTTAAATGGTGCCGCATTTGCATTCGGCGCCTCAGTTAGAATTTAAGGTGGAACTGGAAAATTCAGCAAGAAGCTGGAGAATAAAAAGCGACTTCAGCCTCGTACAACAGTCGAACGTTGAGAGACATTTTACAAGAAACTGATCAACTTTTGAGGAAAAGTTTTGTGGCGGAAATGGGAGGAAAGCGGCTATAGCTAAAGCTTAAAGCAGAGCAAAGTAAATCTGCGCTCTCGTTTGTATTTTTTAACCTATACTCATCAACACATACTGAGACATACTGGACATTAAATGTTGTGGCTCCCAAGGTGGTTTGATTTTTGTTGAAAGGACAAAATGGCTCTTCTTATCATTTGTGTTGTGACTCCTGATCTAACCTGGCTTTAATGCAGAGGGAGCCAGTCGGATTTCTCGCTCATCCAGTGGTGTTTTTGTTATGTGCCACCACAGACTGTCCGGGCGCTGCACTTCCACACTTCCAAGTTCCACCCTTTGCGTTCCGTCAACATTACGTTAGAAATTAAATATTTAGAAAATCGATTTTTGACGTTTGTGAATCGATTCAGAATCGTCCACGTCCGCATCGCGATGCATCTAAGAATCGTTTTTTTCCCACACCCCTAATAATAACTTATATCAGTCTTAAAGGCACAATAACAAAAACAGTCTGTTTAATTGTAAGGGATGAAGAGAGGTTGGAAAATGGTCATGTAAACATGAATTAGGTCAAAAACATACAAACATTATAAGTGGACCTTAGGCAGATAAGTGAAATGTAGGATAAGGGCCCTTTAACTAACTTTTTAATAAGAAAACTGTTGCATCATTATTCAAATCCTGCTTACCATTTACTCAGTATATACTCAGACTGTTAGTAAACATTTTTATATGAACAAAATCCTCCCAGGTATTTTTCAAAAGCGATCAAAGGAAGGCAGCAAGTCTCCTGGCTATTATGACAGGCGCTATATTTAGGACTTTTCTTGTGGTGGGAGGCATTAACACATGATTTTTCATTTTTCAAATTGACCTCCATAAGAAGTCTATAAAAAACTTTTTCTGTGGTCAGAAAAAGGCAGAGGGACGCTAACGTGGATATCATGGCCACAACTTTTTATGTGAATTTCTTTGCTTCAGCTCGAACAAATCTAATGGTTTAAACTTTGACATCATTGACAGAGGCTACATTGGTTTGAAACATCATTGACAGGATGTTCTGCAAAGAATACACTAAGGGCAGGTTTTGTAGACATAGATAAAGCTGCACCTTGGTGAACTGAAACTTCAATGCTGTTTGCTTAAAAATCCTATTTACTATAGGCTAACCCCTAATCTGGGTCTGGGAAACAGGGATACCTGCTTATCCAATGTTTTCTTCTGAAATCAAGGGTATTAATAGGGGGTTTGCCCCCTTTTTCTGCAGGAAAACTCCTCTAGGAAGGTGTTAGACTAGGTGTTGGAACACTGCTGTGAGGATTTGATTGCATTCGGCCACAAGTGCATTAGTGAGGTCAGGTACTGATGTTGGATGATCAGTTCTGGATCACAAACGTTGCTCCAATTTATCCCAATGATATTGGATGGAGCTACATCACTCCAGAAAACACAGGTCCACTGCTCCACAGCCCACACCTGGGGGGATTTCTACCCCTCTAGCTGACACTTGGCATTCAGCATGGTGATCTTAGGCTCATGTGTGGCTGCTTCAGAGCGTCCCATTCTATTGGCAGTGCTTGTCTGTGGAGAATATACAAGCTGTGTGTGTGTAACTGAACACCAGTGTCAGCAGTGTCACTAATTGAATGGTTGTCTGGATACTTTTGACATTGGAAGTAGAATCAGTCAGTCTCTACACTGATTCGGCTTTATTTGAAAAATGTACAACATTTTTTCTCGATTGAATAAGTTTGAACTGATGGGTTGGTATGCTGTTCTGGCTCCTACATCTGTAGCCTATTTCAAAGACTGCTATGTGCAATAGAAACAGCTGATAAAGACAGACATTTGCTTCAAACATACAATGTTGATTGAACTCGCTGCCCACAACCAGAATGTGCGCACACACACACATACACACACACACACCCACCCTATCTCTAACGAACTCACCCACCCAACATCCACCCTCTGCACTCTGTGCAAACACACTGTGAATTTCTGCAGGAACTCTGTTATTAAGTTATTACCTGGATCACATGGTGGAAAGAAGTTTTGCGTTCTTGGTTTTGCTTTTAAATCGCCGCACTATCAGTCTCCCCTGTAGCCTTGCAGCGTTAAAACTCCAGCAACATCTCCTCCTCAATCACAACAAACAGCAACAAGCAATTACAGCAGACCCTCAGAGCATGGTGAATGGCCTCAGGAAGCTCTAAAGAAGGAAGTGGTAATTTCTTTCATTGTCCTGTTTACCTGCTGTTGTGCTGCAGTCACGGCAGCATTAGTTCCAGTAATTCGGAGGGATTTGTTTATCGTGGAGATGTTAGAAGTTTAAGGACACCTCTGCTACAAGCTCAGACGTCTGTGTAGGAAGACAAAAAAATCAGTTGGCTTTTGCACGGGTCACATTTTTGTCATATTTGCCTTTTCTGTTGCTGCCACTGTTGCTCAAGAAAGTACCTCCAACCATTCAAGATGACTTGCAGCACATGTCACTGTTCCTGAGAGCCTGCCGCCTTGGAGTCTAGACAGCCAGCTCATTGTTTCATAAATAAACACATTGCTGTGCTAATTGTGCATAAGGCAGCGTAAGAGGAAGAGTCACAAGAGAAGACAGCCATGTGTGACTCATCTGTGTCCTGAAAGCCAGACATGGACTAAACCTTCTACAGAACTATGAACTCAAAGAGAAAATGTTTTTGTCATTCAACCTAAAGCATATTTTCCAGATGGTAACAAGCCTTTTAACTAGTCTTATTCAAGTCAATGAATTCTTTGACTGAAGCAAAATTAAGTTTTAGTTCAGATGAATTAAAGGAACGTTTTTCATCAATTCAGATCTCTCAGACATTCAGGAGAAGAAGAAGTGCAGAGAAATTAAACATAAGTGAAAGGATGGGAGCTGGCTTAACGTACTTAGTTTAAAGTGAAAATATGCAGCTAAAAATGTACTGCAGTGAAAGCTCAAAAATATCTGCAATACTGTGCAAAAGTTTCAGGCATGTTTTAAACTTACATTTTAAAAAAGCTATTTATCTGGGCAGGACTTGTTTATTTGATTTGCATAGTACTGTACACTTAAACTATACTCAGGTATATAAAAGTAAAAAAAATGATGTTTTAACAGATAAGTAGGTTTTCTCTCTTTGGTGGTTCAGTGGATAGTGGGTGGTACTGGTCATGGCACAAAGACAAATTAGCTGTGGGCAGTTTTTATTTTACGCTGATATGAATTTAGTTTGGATTAATAAATGCAGTATATTCAAATGCATTGGGGGAAAAAAACCTTCTGGTTCTGATTTGTAACAAGTACTTTGAAGGTCTAAATGAAAATGTAGAAAGTAAAAATGTGTTTTTCAGTAAAACCCAAATCTCCCAAAAGAGAGATTTGTAAAGTAACAAGTAACAATTACTGAAGTATTTTCCATCCTCGCAAACAATTCTTATCAACCTTTGTCCTTTTCCATTATTGATAGAGAAGGTCTTGGGGATTTTGCACATTCTTACTCTTTTGACTATTTACATATTCGCTGTTATTTACTTATTTTAGTAAATATTCTCTGTAAAGCATCATCAATCAGTTCCAGTGTTGTGAGCAAACCTCTGTCTCTCTCTCTCCCTCCCTCTCTCACTCTCTCAGTGCCACCAGTGAAGACTCCCTCTCTGGGGCCTGTGGCTCTGGCAGCCGTCATCGCTGGACCCGTTTGTGTGCTCTGCTTTGTGCTGGTCACTGTCTTCTACATCTGCCACAGTCGCTCGGTCATCCACCACCGTGTGCCTAATGAAGAGGACCCCTCCATGGACCACCCCTTCATTACTGTGGGAACCACACTCAAAGACCTCATCTATGACATGACCACGTCTGGATCAGGCTCTGGTAGGTTTCACAAGAGCATTTACTCCAGGGACTGGGATTTTAACCGGTTTTTCAATTCAAATGCCCGCATATTCAAACAAACAATATTCGAATATCCAAATGAGAAAGTAGTGTATATTGTTATAAAATAAAGACTAAAACACAGACCCTTTAATATTTATTGATGTCATGCAGCTGAAACAACGGTAATTTAGTAGATTTAGCGATTTATCTTTGTGTTTTAACTGTATGTGATTTAACATAGAATTTACAGGTTGATAACTTGATGTTGCAAAGTTTACACTGCAACGATTTGTGATCTTTTGGTTAAATGTATTTCAATACAGTTCCACGTAGATGTTGCTCTTGTGCATAATGTAAAACAGTAAGTGTGCTCAGCATTTTCTTTGGACTACATTGCACACTTAGTTAAGATGACAAGATATTCATTTTATTAAGTAGGCAAATACAAAGATGAGTTTGTATGTCTGTATTTTCAAATCACCACACCCATCCCTAGTGTAGTCGAGCAATTTTAGTTTCGTGCTCTGGTGCCTTTTGTAGTGTCTCTTTCCGCCCGAGACATAGGCGTAACGTCTCAGAGGCTACAGGTTCTCTGGCTTTTTGTTTAGTGCTTATGCCCTGCTGTAATTACACGCTGAGATGCATGAATACCTACCTTGCTTTTCTGCCTCGCCTCTCTGTCTCTGTATGTCTGCCTGCCTTGCTGCATATCTCTGTCTCAGTGAGTGTTTTATTTTAATTAATATTTAGCAGGTCTACATGGTGGTTTTCTTCCCACAAAATACAGATTTTGTTTGAAAAATTAAAGGCTCAGAACATTTCTACTTTTTAGCTGATGTTATGTTTATGTGTGTGTATGTGTGTAAATTAGGTATAGGAATGAAAAATCAAACGTTTGATTAGTCAAGAAGGACATGGATGGAAGGAATATTGTGGAGCTGACGTTGATAAAATTTTTGTTAAGATTATTTGTAAATGGTTTTTAATAGTCACTGCCTGATTTTATGTAATATAAAATAATCAAAATACTCACTCTGTGGGTTAAAATTGTAGCAAATTGTGATTGGAGCAAAATGGCACCACAGCATCCATTGCTATTCAGTGATGATCAGTGTAGAATAGACTTGGTTTGCAAGAGAATGGGTGAGAGAGGTTTCATGCCTGGTTGTTATTCAGTTACTAATTACTATGCTAGCCTTAAATAATTTTTATGTATTTTCATGACATTTGCTGTTAGTGGCCTTCGTTAGGTGCATTCAACTATTTAAATGCCAGTCAAATTACTTAGTACTTATACTGTCTCTTTTTTCAATTTCCAGCCATTATGTACAATTTATATACTATATGTAAGTATAATATCAAATCTATCGGTATTTAGCTTTTGGCCGCTCTACTCCCACTTCAGCTCTTTTATCCTTATATTATATTATCATATAACCAAGGAGTTACAGCTGTGGCCTCCTAACTAAAGCTATTCCCGAAGGTGTCATTTATATTATAATCCCCTTCAAAGAGACACTAACATTCACAAAAGCAACTACCAAAACATGTCTCAGCTGCCCTGCAGATTTCTTTCTCATGTACTTCCAAAATGACTAAAAGAGATATTTCTGGGGAGATTAGTTATAAGATAATCCACTTGCATGAGGAAGGAGAAGGTCTGGACGTCTGAAATGCTCAAGGTTTTATGTTTTTAAGGTATATATAAAGTATAGAAGCTGCCGAAGCACTGAAAGATTCTGTGAACCGTTTCTAAAACCATCGGTCAAGCATGGTGGAAGATCAGTGCAAGTTTAGGGATGTATAACAACTGGAGTTGGTGAATTGTTTTTGATTGTTATGTACAAACAGATTTTAATACATCATGCAATTCTACAAGAAGATAATGACCCCAAGCAAGAAGATCAAGGTGTACTTAACAAACAAATAAGCTGCTGGTGTTCTGAGAACATTAGAATGACCACGCCAGAGTCCAGACGTTAACATCATTGAATGTGTTTGAGATTACCTAAATTGTAAGAAGCAGAAAATGCAACCAACTTCTCGAACTGAACTTTAGAGGTGTGGAAAAATATCCCTGCATGCTTCTTTATAAAAACTGAAAGTAAATCTCTTGAAAAGGGAAGAAGCTGTAATAAAAGTAAAGGGTGGACACATTAATACTGAAAATTTTTATATTAAAGTTAGTTGATGAGGCTTATGGGTAATTTTTGGTTAAATATATATTTTCTGCTTTTTTGAAGAAAAATGTACTGACTGGCTGTTTGGACTGAAAATTAAATGAATAAAATGACAGTCTTGTGCACTGTACTGTATGTCCTCTATTGATGCCGTCTCCTCCGCGAGCAGAATTACAGGGTATCATAAACACACCACCACTTTAACCTTTCTCCGTCAGGCCTCATCAGAGTGAGAAATAGCACAACAAACAATTAATCTTTCTAAACAAACCATTACCCTACACTGTGCTCTCATTCACTGCTGCATGCGTGTGATTTATCCAGGGACATCTCCTTTCACTCCATTTGATGGTCTTGTGTATTTGCTCTTTGTGTGTGTTTGTCTGCTTATTCTAACTCTTGAGGCAGCACACTCTATTTTGGGGTACTGTAACAGAGTTAATTCAGATAATTTTAACTTCTTTTGCTGCTTAAACAAGTCTGAAGAAGCCCTCCAGTGCTGTCAGCGCATTTTTTCACAGCCTCTGTTATCATGTACTTTCAATTTCTCCACAGGACACGATTAATTTCTTAGGTGCATTGGCTCTGGGGCCAGGCCTGCAGTGCCATGAATATTTCTTTATCTGTCTGTCTATTCGAGACAATTTCATATGAGCTCAGTCATGCTGGTCATTATGCTGTGCTGCTGGCCACTGAGGCTGTCCTTGCTCCGTGCTGCTCTCCTTTTTGCCACAGTCATAGTTACATGTCCGACAGGGCAAAACCTCAGGACGATTGACAACACACTCCATTTGCCACCTCATTTTCCCCCATTCTTCCATTTTTCAATTCAACATGCCTTTTCATCCTGTTCTTTCCACCCAGACACCTCACGTCTTCTTCAGTGTCATTCATTCGCTGCACCCACACTGTCGTGATCACAGGACTCATAGGAAGGTTGAAAAGAATGAAAAAGAGATGCTGTTCTTAGTGCTTCCTGAGAAATGCCCTCGACAGAAGCGTCCTCAGTTGAATTCGAACTGCAGAAAGTTGGACTCACGTTGGAACGTGGGGGTGCTCGTTCTTTGTGTGTGTGAGAATCTCACGAAGTTGTCAGGATAGCTAAAAATACATTTGCTTGTAGCTCCAAATAGAAAAATAACCCTTGGAAGGCAATTATTAGTCATAAAATGTTGATGTTCTTTAGAAGTGTGTCAGTGCCACATTTCTAAAAGCTAAAAGCAGCATTAAATAAATGAGTAATTAAGTAAACTTTTTTTACACACACACAAACACACACACACACACATATATATATATATATATATATATATATATATATATATATATATATATATGATTTCACCTATAAAAATATTTTACTCATACTTTTAGAACAACTAGTGTTGAGTGTAATTACTGCTCAACCATAAAACAACTTGTCACAAAAAATTATGTAATTAATTATGTAATTATGCAAGCTTCAATAGGTGTTGATGCAGGGGCGTACACAAGTACTTGAATATTCAGGTAACCGTTAGGTCCAGAAACTGTGAAAAGATATTTTTCTGACAAACTAACATATGGGAACGTTGTTCACGAAGGAGAAAAGACCTTGTATAGAAGACGAGTCCTCATCAGCATCCATCTGTAGTGATAGCTAATTAGCTTACCTGAGGAGGCAGCCTCCGTTACGTGTCCGACATGTAAACCTACTGATTTCAGCTATTTTAAATAATAAAAAATATTTTCAAAATGATTCTTCTGCACGTTGCAAAATTTTATGCCACTCTTTTTTCAAGCCTCTTAACACCAGCACTAACATGCACAGTTTTTTTGTTTAAATCACTGTCAGTGATCAAAACTATGGATCCAGGTGCATCTTATCAGAGTAAAGTGCTCAGGAAGAGGGAAGGGGCTTATGTTACACGTGCACCCACGCTGAAATGACTGGACTTCTTATAAATTCGTTATGCAGTTTTTGGGGCTTATTTTGTTAGAGGTCAGTGCAGCAAGCTTCGAAATAGATCTGTTTGAGAAAGAATCTGTATAGCATATATTTATATAAATCATTTTTAACATTTTTAATGTACAAAATATCAAAAATTGAATTGAATCTTGACCTCAGAATTGAAAATCATATCAAACCTGAAATATGTGTGTTGTTACACTCCGACTGCGAATGCCTGTAAACTGTGTGCATGGTGCAAAAATTACCATATTAACAGTAACGTATGAACACAAGGCACATGTTCAGGCACTGCTGATTTTTGCTGTGTTGAAAAATGTATAGAATCGAATCACATTTTGAATTTTGTATATCGTAACACGTCTACAGTTGATGGGAAAAAAGTCTTAAGGCTTAACCCCTATCTTGGGTCACTGTTTGATGATCTAAGAGGTAAAGTATTCGTAAAATTCTAGCTTTTCTGTTGTTGCATTCATACACACAGTCAGTTACATACTCGTGTACTCAGTGGCTCTGCCTGTTCTAACATCCAGCCATTAATTCTATGACCAAATCAAAAGCAATAAGCAGATACTAACTGTATGCATGTTAGCTTTTGGCTGACCAGTGGCTGCTGGCCGAGCATTGATTGGATTGTGCTGACCTTGTCTGCTCAATCTATGCTGTTCCATTCTGCAGCATGCTCTATTTGTCTCCTAATGGACTGCCTTTCTATTTCTGCCGCCATGCCAGTGGCACTCAAAAGACTGTATGCTGAGCATTAAATCACCAGCCTGGCTGAACTCATCTAGCCATGGAACTTTTTACCTCTTCCTCAAAGGTGATGATGATGGTTTTTTTTCTTCTGTTACTTCTTCTCTTTATTATTAGTGAAATTACATACACTCCACCTTCGGTCAGGGACCTGCTCATCATTAACGCAGGATACTGTTGTAAATTAATAACATAGTGCAGTCATTTCAGGATCTCAGCTTTAGATTAGCTCAGAACAAATTAGCGTCACATTATCACCTCCTAGTCACACTGATGTGCTGTGGATAAGCTCAGAGCGTTCTAGGTTCATTGTGCTTTGTTTTGATAGCCTAGATTTTAACTGAGTGCCTGGTTTCTTGGACCCTTGCCTTTCATTCAGCAGCAGCGAATGAGCCTGCCATTTCTGCTACACATGGTCAATGGAACTGATACAATCACCCTTTCTTTCGATTCTTTTCTTGGAGCGAGGGTTCTTATTGTAGTTTTGATCTTTGGATTTCAGTAACTAAAGAGAGGAATACCAACCCTTATACAGAAGTACTCTGAATTCTATTTGCCGTCTTCACCTCTTAACCCTTGGAAATGGCGTTATTACTGTCATTTTAGGTTGGAATTTAGATACAATTATGTAGTAATTACAGAGTAATGTAATGTATTACATTTCCATCCACATCAAAAGATTAAAGTTTGTACTTGTTTCAGTGCCAAACAAAGGCAAAATTATCTGTCTGTCTATCTATCTATCTATCTATCTATCTATCTATCTATCTGTCTGTCTATCTATCTATCTATCTATCTATCTGTCTGTCTGTGTATCTATCTATCTATCTATATATGTAGAAATATGTAAAGGTGATGCAGGCGCACTTTTCATCAAATTCAAACCATAATAAAATATCTCTACTACTTACAAACACAAATACTGAATGTTTAAAATTGTTTTTGACAAATTTCTCTCTTTCTTGTCTTCTCTCTCTCTTTCAGGTCTTCCTTTGCTGGTGCAGAGGACCATCGCCAGGACCATCATCCTGCAGGAGAGCATAGGCAAGGGTCGCTTTGGAGAGGTGTGGCGGGGCAAGTGGAGAGGAGAGGAGGTAGCAGTGAAGATCTTCTCCTCTCGTGAGGAGCGTTCCTGGTTCCGCGAGGCCGAGATCTATCAGACCGTCATGCTCCGACACGAGAACATCCTGGGATTCATCGCCGCCGACAACAAAGGTGAGCTCAGTGGTGCAGGCACCCCCAGCTGAGGCTGTACAGAGTTGAGAGAGCCTTCGATTTTGTCAGAGTGACTAAAACCCAAAGGTCTTTTGATAATGATGGTGTTTTGGCAAAAGCAAAGATGACCTTTGATGGTAACCATGCTTGTGGTGCTGCTTTGAAAAGCGACAAAACACATCTGCAAGGCCTTGATCTGAAAGGCTCTGTAATGCTGCAGTGCTGACAGAATTTGTGGAAACTCTGAAACAAGTAGCTTCTTTTGCGTGATTGCCTTGAATCACACAAATCTATGCTGTGTTTAGCTGTGCTGCCACTTTATCCTACTTATTCCCCAAGCTCCAGCTGTAGAACACTGGTAATAGTTCTTGTTTAGCTTCTGACAGGTTTAATTGAGCAAGAAGAGGTATTTTAAAGTTTTTCTGGCTCCCGCAACTCAGTCCAGAGTTTGCATATTAGTTTTACCTGGAAAGTTTATCGACCTTGGGTCTAGTACTTCTGCGTGATGGGGCTGAAGGGGCTTGGAACAGAACGGCATTGCAGAAAACAAAGAGCAGTGTTTACAGAGATACTTGCCAGTTATCGTATTTGTGATTTGTTTGAAAGTTTGTATGGGGATATTGGGAAGAATGAACGTGTGCTTGTGGGGTAGAGAAGAAGTGTGTTTATGTAAGGCGAGGGCAGTGCTAGGAGTCAGCCCAGCTGCTCTGAGATCAGACTAGCCATCTGGAGTTCCATGGCTGTGAGCAGGGGTGTTATTTACTCTGTCCATTAATCTCTCTCTCTCTCTCTCTCTCTCTCTCTCTCTCTCTCTCTCTGTCTCCCCACTGTCCCCCCCCTCTTTCTTAGATAATGGAACTTGGACGCAGCTGTGGCTGGTGTCAGACTACCACGAGCATGGTTCCCTGTTCGATTACCTGAACAGGTACACTGTGACGGTGGAGGGCATGATCAAGCTGTCTCTGTCCACCGCCAGTGGCCTGGCCCACCTGCACATGGAGATCGTAGGAACACAAGGTAAGAGGTCAACACCTGCCTGCTGAATTACCCTCACAGTTGAAGCTGGTGCAATTGCTGCCAGCAGAACAGCAAAAAAGGAATGGAAGAATGGTTTTAGCGAGAACACAGCAAGCCAAAACATGACATACCATCCGTTTGCTCAGAATTTCCTGTCAGTGTTGAAATTGATCCTGTACTGAGCAGATTACAGCATACTTATTCTGTTAAACTGAGCATGAATGAACATCAGACTCACTTTACCAACAAACTGGTATCATATCATATATAATCTGGTGAAGTTTTAGTGTGAACCCCAAATCAGCAGTATGGAAATACACATAAAATTGTTGCTTTGTATTTTTATTTTATTTATTTCTTTTCTAATTCTGTTGTGTTTCACACCATCTTTTTCAGCAAATAACAGTATAATATTTAAGACTTTTTTATGAAACGTTTTTATCAATTCGATGTAGACTGAAATATTAAAATGGTTAGATTTTTGAGTGATTTTGGCATAATAACGTGGTAGTTAAGATGTCTACGGTGATAAGTTCATGGTAAGTCTTTGTAGCCCTAAATACATCAGAGGTATATGGTTAAATATGAAATACTTATCCAGTGTGTGTCAATTAAAAATAATTACCAATATTTCTTAAAATAGAGATTATTGGAATAGAGGTATTGGAATTAACTATAAGAGCACATTATATGAGGTATACAGGAGTATTAAAAAATACCGGATCAGTGCTCTGTATCAGCCGATGTCCTGAGTTCAGATATTGGAATCTGTATCGGGGGAAGAAAAAGTCAGATCGCTGCATCCCTAACTATGAGAACAATTATCTTTTTTATTCGGTATTTTGCATATTTTCCAGCACCACATCCAATTAAGCAGGGCCGTGTAATGCTTTCTTGAACTTTCTTGAGCATCAGGATTCAAACTTTCAACAGCAAGGTAAAATATTCAAGAGTGGGAGCCATTAAATCTCTTTTTAAAGAAACATTTTAGTTAATGAAGTAGTGATGATACCCACAGTATGTTCATAAAATATGCTCATTGAGCTGTTTGCGGATATTATTAAAGAGCGGACACGTGGAACCGAAATTTCCTCACCTTTAATAGAACAGGAAAGACTAAAGGCTGCTTTTTGGCTCCTGACTCTTTCACTAGCGGTCTCAGTCTGATCCCAGTAGTACGCTGTCGGTGTGTGAATGCTTAACAGATGTTAATTAAGCTGTGCTCCTCAGCTGAGCTGCTGGTTCATCTTCAGCCAGACAGCACGGTTTCTCTGTGACTGATACCACGGTGATCATTACAATTAACAGACCCTGCGTCTTCTGCATCATTTTACCGAGGGGAGGTATTAAGAAACAGATGTGAGACATGTTTGAATTGTAATGGACTATTTTCCAAGACAAAACAGTTCCTCCGTGACAGAGAGATTGGACAGGAACATTTGCTGCTTTTTGTTTACAAGCGCATCATTCATGTATCAATGGTGGAACTAGTTGCTTTTTTGTATGTCTTCCTTATTACAGCCGGTAAATTGAGACCTAATGCTCCATAACACTGTGCTGTTATAGAACAATCTGCCTTTTTAAGACCACTTTTAAAAATATTCAACAAAACAGATGAAAACTTCTACAAATAGCTATTCCTTCTGTCACAAAAATATCTCATTGCTTCTGAACATCCTTCTTCATTTCCTTATGTGAATAGGTAATTTGTATGGGTATGTAGGCTAGGCCAAGAAGCATTAGAACAGTTTTAGATGAAGATCATTGCCATGCTGTTCCTGTTGGAGTGTATTGCCCGTTTTCCTGGTGTGACTGCAGACTGTCCTATTCACACACACTATGTGCTGGACCAGGAGTGCTGCCGAGTCTGCCAGCAATAATGAAACCGTTTATTTAGCTCATACCAACACTACAAATGACTCGTCAGGGTGTCTGCTTCTCCGCATGTTTGTGCGTGGATGTGATGTGAAGCATGTGTCTCTGCCTGCGCAAGGGAAAGTGTTGTAAATTTCCCAGTAGCTGCACTGCAGCACTAAAGTCAGCTCGGCCCTATTGGTGCTCTGCCATATTGGTGCTCTGCCTCTGCTCTTCAAGGCCTTCCGGTTAGTTTTCTCCTGCCTGGAGGCCTTTGACATTACTATTTCATACATTAAATTGTCAAGCTTTTGCTCCTACTTGTTGATGGAACTTTCCTACCTCCTTTTTCACAGCTATAGTGAACTCTCAGTTTGGCCTAGGCATCATAAGTCTTAGGCATGTGGGAAAATGATATACAAAGCTATCTGGGCATTAAGGATTTATTTGTTAAAAAATAAAACTACAGTAAAAAGACTAACATTAAAATTAATACAAACATACAATACATTGTGATTTTATTGGTGTGAACGTATTAGCTTAACCATTTCCAAAGCTCTCCTGGTTACCATCCAGCACCTGCTTCAGCTGATCAGTCCTTCATTAAAGTCAATCAAGTGCTGCAAATCCATGCAGTCAAGACAAGCAACAAAGGCTTGAACTTTGAACAACTGTAACTTCAGTGCACTAGTTGGCAGTGTATGCCTTTTACTCAGTAGACTGGTGGGAAGAGGAGGTCTAGCCATTCACTCACAAGTGCACAAATCAGCAAGACTATTTTCACTGTTGAAATTATGCAGAGTTGAACTGTAGTGAGGAAAAAATGTGACAATGAGGAAATTATGGCAAGAAAACAAACTAATCAACTCTCTTTTTATCTTTTATTCCTATTATTTGGCTGTTAAAACTGTTTTTAAAGGTGTTGCATATTACATGTGAAAGCCAAGTGAAATGCAAAGCCTCAAATTTAAAATTTTAATTTACATTTTTTTGTTTATTCTTATGTTCTATGTAGATATGAGATCATTTTTGTTTGCCACAATGGAGAAAGCCTTTTGTGTTCTTGAGGGTTCACAGTTCTTACTTAACTTAAAATTGGGCATTACAAAATGCAAAAATAATTATCGGCGTTTATCAATAATAAATTAAATGGTATAATGTATCACTGTAAGAGTTTTAGCTATACAGCCAGCCATGCTGTTAATCTAATATCACATCCCTCTGTTTAATTTCAGGCAAACCGGCTATCGCTCACAGGGATCTGAAATCCAAGAACATCTTGGTAAAGAAGAATGGCACCTGCTGTATCGCAGACCTCGGCTTGGCTGTGCGCCATGACTCAGCCACAGACACTATTGATATTGCCCCCAACCACCGAGTAGGCACCAAAAGGTAATACGAGTGTTTTTACTGTCTTCTGACACTATTATTGATATCCTTCATTTCCTTTGCGATGGCTCTGGTTTTCAGTTGCAATTGTCAGCAGTTGGCTTATGTGGTGACCAAAGCCTGCGCTGAAAAAAGTACTGCATTGAATTTACTTGATTCAAATGTGTATATCATTTCCACATAAATGAAATGTACTACATCAGTTAAATTTTGTCTTCAGTTACTTCAGCTTTTGGCAATAATTGTGTTGATGTATTTATGTTGAGGTAATGTATACATTTAGATTAAGTGTTTCAGTGCAGGAATCCCTTAGTTTTAACTATTAAAATGCCACTATGGCTATCAGTTATTAAAGGCAGGAGTCAAAGTTGCTGTAACATTTACTTTTTTGGCCACTAAAAATGCAGAGCATTTGACCTGAGTGACTTGACCTGACTTTTTTTGCATTTGTTTTCTTTTAACAAAACACCAGACTAGTTGAATTTTCATATGTTCACAATTATCGACCATCAATAACAAAACAACTACAAGTGGATGTGGGGGGCACGTAGCAAAAGGCATCAGCTGACTGATTTTTTGTACTGAAGCATATTCTTGTTCATTGTAAATACTGTGTGTATAATTTAAGCATTTTTCTATTCTGGCCATAAATTCTTATTTTTATATTTGTCTACCCCTGGTTGGCAGTTTTCTTCACAGTAGTTTCTAATGGTTAAAGTAGCTCAGTAGTAGGGTGTCCACCTTCGGTCCTGGAGGACCTTAGTCCAGCATAGATTGGTGATTTCCTGACACACCTGATTCAGCTTAGCAGTTCTCTGTTTCATAGCATTAGTAGGTGTGTTTGAGCAGAGAAATCACTGAAGTGTGTTGGACTCCAGGGCTAGAATTGGCCACCTCTGGTGTATCTAATATGGCTCACCCACACCTCTTGCCTCTCTATAAAGCCATTCTAGCTCTCAGTAGTTTTCAATTGCTTTCAAAGCAGTTGTTAGTGAATGAGATATAGTGTAGCTAGTGCTTCAGGCAGACGTACGTCTGATTCAGGCAGGAGGGAAGGAGGTACAGCAGCCAGCGTGTGAGTCACCACATGGAAACCCACAGCTCATACAAATACACCTTCTCTCCACTGCAGCGGCAATAGCAAACGCACACACACATACACATACATCTGACTGTTCTCTGATGTGTGGAGCTGGAGCTGTAATTATTGTTCGTGCTTTTAGTGAAGAACTTTTCCAGCATGGTCTTGTCACTGAAGTTTGAAGAACCACAGATGAACCTTGTATTCAGTGTATGCTTTTAATCTGCTAATGTTTGGATTCATTTAGAAAATCCTTGCACTGATGATCATGTGGGAGGTGGTGATTAAAATAACTTTATTCTATAACAAACTTTAGCCAGCAGGTCTCAGTATCTCTGAGCATGTTGGCTTTAAAGTCCCTTGGGCCGGTGGACTGTGCCACGTGTCTTGAATGGCACCCCTGACCCTGGCACACTCCAGGCCTTTCATCATCTCTCCTGTTTTGTCTTTAAGACCTGACTCTGAAATAACAGAGCAGTGTGAGACCCCTAGTGACCCCTGAGAGGAGCCAAAGGATCTGCCTGGTTATTAAATCTGCACCTTCACTGAGTGGTCACTGCATGCCCAAATCACAGGGCACTCACAGCTGCTTTGGGAAAAAAGCCATTGTAAACAAGAGATAAAAAAAGCATTAATGCATCTTATATCAGTGTGAAGGCAAATGAAAGAATAAAAGACTCTTCAAATCATGTTATGATGAGTGAAATTTTGGGAAATTTGCATTTGGAGTTGGTGAATTTGTTTTGATTGTAGGCATCATGAATGCAAACAAATTTGAATACATCATTCCATACCCTGTGGAAATGTTTGGTAGGGGAAAAATACATTCCGTAGGTAGATAATAAATATAATAAAATGCACAGAAATGTTAGCCAACAGCATTTTTGGTGGAAGATGGCACTTTGTTTTTGGTCGGTAGACAAAATAGGCCAAAAATTCTGGCTAGAAAAAGCAAAAGATTTAATAGGCCTATAGTGGAATTTTGGAATCTAATACTTAACAAATAATCTGAATGATAATGAAAATGAGAATTTGTGATTGAAAATGCTGTTTGTCTTCTTCGCTCTCCTGTGCTAGTCAGCATAGACACATTTAAACAGTTTGAGCAGCAGCAGATCAACAGTGAAGCACTCAGATCCGACCAACTGCAGCTTATGCAATACAGTCTTTAACTTCATGCTTTTTAACATTTAGCTGATGAATGAAGATATTTAATGAAAATCACGTAAAGTATTATAAAGTATTTTATTTTAATAATTTTACAAATTTTAATATTTATTGTTAATTAATGAAAGCTGTTCTCTAGTTCTCTGTCAGTTCTGTTTCCCAACATGGCGTTTATTCCTTTTGAAACATCATCTGCATTATTATTTTAATTTAAAGGAATAAAAAAACAAACGAAAGTTGTTTGCATCCTAAACTTTGGTCAAGAATTTCTCATTCGTGCATCACTGATAAGCAAACTGTTGAGAAGATCAAGACAAATAAGCTGCTAATGTTTATAGAACAATTGACAGGCCAAGTCAGAGACCAAACCTTAATGTGTTTAATTAATTTAATGTGTTTGAGATTATTTGGATCCTGAGAATCAGAAAATGCATCCAGCTTCTGAGACTGAACTTTGGAGGTGTGTAAAAATATTTCTTAATAAAAACTGAAAGTACGTCTCCTTAGAAGAACAGAAACAGTAATGAAGGCAAAGGCTGAACACACTAAATGCTGAAAAAAAAGAAATTATATTTTGTTTTTGTTGTTGAGGCTTCTCTGTAATTTACTCTTAAATAAATGATTTGTCTTTTTTGCCTGATGCTGAAAAATCGATAATTTGTACGTAATGGCCATCTGGACTTGGAAATAAAAGGGTGGTTTCTGTTTTTAACGCAAAGCTGTAGGCAGCGGGTTGGAATTTGCACTGACTAAATTAGGAGAAAATGGGGTAAAATCTGAAACGTAAAAAGCATATCCTTTTTCTTTTATTGTCTGTGTTCCACTATTTTGTAAAACGTTTCTCAGGTCATATTTGTGTATCCAGTATTCAGTGTATTTTAAAAACAAATTCAGAATCATACCAAAATAACGTACGGTTGATAATCTAACCAAATAGTGATTAGAATTTCAGCATGGATTGAATTGTTTACTAAAGAACTGGAATCAGATAAATTGAGTCAGGGAGTTATATTCCTAATAAACATGCTTTATTCAGTTAGAACTAACACTGGATCACACGCTTTACTATGTTAAGAGGGAGCAGACAGCAGTTATATTAAATGGTGTGAAATGTGGGGCAATTCTCAGTTCATATCGAGATACTTGGAGTGATTAGTCTGTGAGAGGGCCCAGAGAAGTCTGGCAGTGCCCCGTCAATTCCTTGCTGGGCCGAGGAATCATGGGATAGCCCGTCACTGTCTGGGCTTGGGGCCCACGCTCCGCCTTGCCAGGCCCTGGAGTCTGTCCGGATTAATCAGACTCAAGGCAGTGACTTCACCCTCTTCTGAATTACGGGGGGAGATTAGCCGAGCTAACACCCTTCCTTCCTGTGAAAGACTACAGAGAAATGCCAGTCGAGCCTAGCTGTTATCTCTTATCCTTATGCCCCCCACCCACCCCTGCTGCCACAGGAATAAAACAGTCATATTCTGCAAGATTTGTTTCTGAAGTGCTTCATCTTTCTGTCTTACTGACTGTGGAACAGAGGTTGTTTTGTTTACAGGCATTTGCAGAAAGCATACTGTTTTACTACATTGTTTTTAATTAGATTCAGAACTCATTATTTTTAATGATAGAAAGTGCACAGGGAACGCACAATCTGTACCATCAACTTTCCAGTTTTTTAAGCAGCAGTACAGCTAAATGAGTTTCCACAATTATTTTTGAATTTTGAAATGAGTTTAAGGTGACCCAAGAGGCACATTTTTATTTTTAAATCCGACTCTTTCTGCAAAGTTTTCTGTAATTACATAAGAGGTGTTTCAACCTGTTCAGCTACATTTGTGTGTTCTGTTTCAATTAAATTCTCACAACTGTCTCCCAACAGGTATATGGCTCCAGAGGTACTTGACGATTCAATAAATATGAAACATTTTGAGTCATTCAAGAGAGCAGATATCTACGCAATGGGCTTGGTCTTCTGGGAAATTGCAAGCAGATGCTCTATTGGAGGTAATTTGGCTAAAATCAGTCAATTTTAATTTCACCGCATTAGTTTGGTAGTACGTTAGGGAGATAATGTTCCTTCTGTGCATCCTTGATGTAACCTTATAAATACAGATTAAATAGCCTGTTACATAGTAAGTTTTAAACTAAAGTTGTTAGTAGGGCTTTGACACAGTGAGCTGACAAATGATTAACAGCATACTTCATTTATCTCTTGTTTTACATAACTATTATCTATTTTAAAGCATTGTGTCTCGTATTGTGTTAAATATGTGTTAATAGTAACACAAAATGTTGTGTTAACTGCACAGGTGTTGTTTTGTACACATCTGTTTTGAGAGCGTACTCTGTGAACGGCCTCTGTTGGACATGTTTTGGCATAACACACGTGTTTTCCTCAGGCATTCATGAAGACTACCAGCTGCCGTATTACGACCTGGTGCAGTCAGATCCATCAGTGGAGGAAATGAGGAAGGTGGTTTGTGAGCAGAAGTTACGACCCAACATTCCCAACAGGTGGCAGAGCTGTGAGGTACATGTTTTCACTCCTTCTTTAGTACAGCTGCAGCAATAAGTTGATATCAGTTGTTAAAAAAATGGATTGTTGTATATTGATTTTTTCATCAACGCATTGTTTAATGCACACTATAATTCTCTTTAATGTTCATATGATACTCACAACCTTTCTGACAGATTGCAGTACACCTCAGGTAGCAATCTGGGGTGATACAGCTTTCATTTTTAAAGGCTTAACAACCACAAAACAGATGAAAACTCAAATATATAGTAAATACCCCTATATAGATGGATAAAAAACACAGAAATAGAAAAAGAACAGCAATAACAGCTGAAAAAATATGCAAAGATAAATATTCTTTAAACATGTAAATTTCTTGACAGAGAGAGCAATAGAGTGTGTCAAAAATAGGAGCTGCTTGCTTGCATAAATGGTGGAGTAATTTAATGTGGTGTTGAATTGCTTTGTCAGGTTTTTGAATTGTAGCCCTCAAGCTGCACTGGAATGATGTTGCAGGCAACTCACAACATGCAGCTAGTTACACGAAAGTTTCATCATGTGAGGCCAGTCTTAGACAACTCCTTCACATTCTTTCTCCTGAGGATGCACTGGCATTTTGTTCTCCATTAGCATCCAAACGAGCTTTGGGTCTAATGGGGAATAAAGAATATTGAATACCTTTTTAGACAATCGCCTCTATGATGCTCTATGGTTAACCAAGGAGTTCTAAAGCCTGTATGTCTTGTTTTGGCTATATTGTCTTCTGAATATCACTGTCATTTGAATTATGAGATATTTAACTAGGCAAGAATATTGCTGCACACGTGCTACATGCAAGGTGAAACTGTACGTTGACATCATAGGACTCGCTACCTTAGTGTTAGCTTGCTTGTAGTATGTAGTGTGAGTTCTGATGTAAATAAACAGGAAACTGTGATTGTTCTGTGTATTAGCTTAACTATTTCCAAAGGAGGCCCAGTATTTAGTTACCATCCAGTACCTAGTTAATCTAATCAATCCTTTATTAAATTAAATCAGAGGGGCTACTGGTGGAATTTGACAAATGCATACAGTGACTGAAGTGCAGCGAGAAGTCGGAAACCAAGCCTGTGTTTGTCTGTATTCTTCTAAGCAAAATATTAATAGCTTTTTTTTAAAGCAAAAGATTATATTTTACAGTATTTTAGTATTGTTCAGTATGTTTAGTTGTGTTTATCATAATGTTATATAATGTTTGTATTTGATTAAATTTTTGTACTTAATTTATGTTTTATGTATTAAACAAATTTCTTAGCTGCCTAAGACTTTTACACAGTACTGTATGTAGTAAGAGTAGCATTTTGGCAACTCGTTGACTTTATAATCCAGAAGATACAGTGACATCCGGGGTAAAAATGTGCATAGAACAAAATGCATCAGCTCTGAGGCTGCATAAGAACCTCAGAGATGTATCTGCGCTGCAGGATATGGTGCATGGTCTCTCACTGTAATCACAGCATCATAGCTTCTGGTGCTGCCCCTCCCCTGAGACGGCGCATTGTTGAATCTCCGATCTCCAATTCAGATCCAATTGAAATTCCCACATGTGTGTTCTGGCTGTTATTGGAGATGCTGCTCTTCTGTTTGAGCCAAACCGCATTCCCCAGGGGAGTACCATGAGAGAAAGTGCGCTGCGTTTTCAGCTCTCTCAGGTTTCCTTCCTCTGCCATCTCCCATCCATCAAGCTAGCAGCAGGCGTGCTCTCCGCTCCGCTTTTATTGGTGTCCTTTTTATTACGCGGGAAGTGACACAATTAGATTAGGCCTGATGCGCTATAATGCAATTCCGTAATCTAATCTGTGTCTGCTAGACCAAGATCGCTGCCATTTGTTTTTCAAGAGGCGCACTCACAGACTAACGTGTCGTATTTGCTCTCCTTTCTGTTCTCTCACAAATGAGCTGAGAGAGATGAGTTTATTGTAAAGCAGGGCGATAGACTGCAGCGTTTGTGGGGTGTGACTCAGCCTCTCGAGTGGAGAACGCGTACGGTGTTTAGTGGAGTAATGTAAGCAGATGGTGCATCGGCATTCTGCTTGTGTTTACGGCTCAGGCTGTAAACTCAACCGCCTTCGCAAACGTCCCGGTCTCTGAGCCATGGCTTGGCCGTATTTCCCAGGCTGAGATTTCATCGACAGACATAGCTGCACCTCAGGCATCACCAGGGCTGGTTTTCAGAACAGTGGAACAGTGAAACATGCCTGGTTTTTAATGACCCCTCCAAGGAGCTCAACCTGAATTTAAACAGGGTTTTTTTGGTATCGTGACCAGGTGTTGCAACATGTCAGGGAGGTGGCAAAAAAAACACCCTTTTTCCCAGACACTGTGCGGTAGCATTTGGAATAGCAGTGTGACCTTGTTGATTACAATAATGTGTGTAAGTCAGAGATCATAATGGCCATGAAGTATGTTAAGTCCATTAAAATTTATTTTTCAGCACCAGGAAAAAACATAAAACATATTTAACAATTACACAGAAGCCTCAGCATCTAAATATAATAGATTTTTTTTTAGTGTTGCCAAACTTTGCTTGTATTATAGCTTCCACATGTTCAAAGAAATCTGCGGACATATTTTTCCCAAAAATTCAGTCAGAAGTTGGTTGCTTTTTCTTCTTCTCACAATTCAAGTAATCCCATCTCAGTGATGAGGTCTGGGTGGCCAGTCCATTCTTCTGAGAACACCAGTAGCTTCTTTGTTTGATTTTCTTCATCTTTATCTTTTTTTTTCTCGGTAACGGCTTCTTGCCAGCTACGCATCCTTTCAGACTCGTAGTGTTGAGTTGTCTCACAGTCGGAGGATGGACAGACACATTTTTTTCAGAAATGAAGCAAGAGTGGAGCTTGAATTTCTCTCAGAGATGAAAGCTTTAAAGCATAAAGTTTAAAGCATACTTTTCGAAACTTTATCTGTCAATATAATATGATAATTTCACTTAAAAACCAGTTAAAAGAATTAAACAGGGTTTGTACAGTCATGAAAAACCTGGAAAAATCAAGGAATATAGAAATTTGGTTTCCAGGCCTAGAAAAGTTGTGGAAATTTAATGATTTTTCAAGCATTTCCTTAATTTTCTCCCATGCCGTTTGTTGTCGCATCACTTTTGAAGCACTTGAGAGTCTAGATCACAAAAAGCACCGAGACCTGAGACTAAAGTATCTGCACATGGACTAGCTTTACTAACATGCTAATATGAATCTCAGCCAGCTGAGTTGTAACATTCAGGACGTGTGTGCTGTGGAAGATGTTTTGACATTTGAACGCTGGAGAAAATTAATTGACCAGCCAAATGTAAGAGGGAAAACACACTGCTGCTGCTTCTCATACCAAGACCTGCAGGACTAGCTTCTTCACTGTGATGCACCGTAAGTGAAATGACGCAATCACAGTGCCTCTGACCCTGCGCCGTGGCAGCACATGGTTGTGCATCTCCGAATTTTTCTAACTTGGAACTCACCAGGTGTGCAGTGCTTTAGTCAAAATGAATGAATTTGAAGGGAGATTTCCTCCCTTCAGAAAGAGATCACCTCTACCTCTGTCACACCATATCAAAGAGAAAACTACAGCGACGGTAGTACTATTATAACGTGTTCTCTTCAGGGTCACGAGCCGCCTGCGAAGTCTCGAGTGGCGCTCTGCTGCAGGGCTCGATCTGCACCACGCCACCTAAACAAACATCACATCCTGCAGCTACATTAAGAAATGATGAGCTAACGGTTGAGGGACTCACTGATTTGATTTTATACAGTCTTTGTTGTACTCTGGGTACTCAAAGTTGTGAACTCACTCCCATTATAATCCGCTCCTAAATACAAAAATTGCATCAACGTCACTGATATTACGGATTTGGACAGGATTAAAATCACTGAGAAACTTCGGCAGCCTAATAAATACATCACCTCCCCACACCATGTAAAACTAATCCCTCCCAAATTGAACTTCGGTTAGAAGCATATTTCTCTGGCTAAATAAATATGTCTTTGTTATTGTTAATTTTGAGCTAAATGTAATGAAATGGAGAACAATGTCCACCTTTTCATGATGTGCGTTCATGCACAACACATCTATATTATGACAATACGCTAAACCACTCTTTACAAACAAAACCGATAGATGTGTTTGCACATGAGAATACGAGATGACAGAGGAGTTAAAGCAAAATATGTAGGCTCTGATATTATAGAACATTAATGTCTTGAGCAAAATGACAGATCGGTTCTCTAAGGTCAGAGTGTTGAACCTGGTGCAGATATCCGCACACAGGTCAGATTTCAGTTTCACTCGCAATCATTACATTAAATCTGCATTTCAAATTACTAGCTAATAATATTTAAATATTAAAGTAATATTTAGGTAATTGTAGGTCTTTTTCTCTTGGAATAGCTGTTTATATGTTAAAGTAGTGCTGGGTGGTTACTGAAAAAATTCAATATTATGGTATTTTCAAGCATATCACAGTATTCTGCTGTTGGGTGATATTAAAGTTTAACATTAATTAAAAAACGTTAATGAACTCACACTTCCCGAGTTTCCTCCATTATGAATTAAAACTATCACTAAATTAGGAAGTGGTCTGTCAGTATCGGATGCCTTTTTTTTCTCGCTCATTTAATATTACTTTCTCCTTCCTTACAGTAGTGGAATACCTCATATCTAATCTCCTAAGAAACATCTCCTGCAATATAAAAACTTGTACTTTGGCTGTTTTGAAAGGAAGATTAATAATTTAATAGTGGTCTCTGACTTTGCCCAGTACTGTATGTCTCTCTTGTTGCTGAAATGTGGAGACTTAAAAATCATTTTTACACTCTAGCATTTCTACTGCTAAAATACTGGCTTCAAATCTTCAAACAGTCCAGTATCCTTTACTTTAATTTTTTTCCTGGCAAACTGTTAAAGGATTTTAGTGATGCATGCTTCTCATTCTCTGGCTTATTTTAAAAAGCAAGGACATGATTTGTTAAACCTTTTTATTTAATAATTGCAGTTTTCTTTGTGTTAATTGGTGAAGAATGAAATGCATCTGCTCAGGCAGAATAAAATCTGTCCTTTATCATAGTGTAGTAGTGTTGTTGCACAGTCTTTTGTCTAAAACCAAACAAGCCTAATTTAATTTTCAGTGTTATGTAAAATATTTGTTAGCTGTGAGCAGCGTTGGTGTGGATGATTAGTCTCACAAGAGCATCGAAACGGCCAAGCTGCCTTCCTTCTGTAGCAAGTTACACAGCGCCAGTTGCTCCTCTCCAAATTTTGAAGGCCATAAAAATGCAAAGTGGTCACTCAGTGTTGAACATAAATACCTTCTGCTGTTAGCCACATAGGCTGGGTAGGCTGAACATTGATATCCAGCACAAATGACAGCTTCTCTCACAGTCATAGTCCAAGGTCTTCAAACAGGAATTTGAAATGTAATTTATGAAAATCTCTATACCGTGCTCTCTGGAATTGGCAATGATGACCAAAAAGAGCTGTAATGTTTTTTGTTTAGCCTGATTTTACACTGGAAATATGAGAGAAATTTAACCTTTAAAAAGAAAATGAAGAATGTCCCGATTATTGTTACTCCTGCATTTAGTACTTTCCTAGTACCTTTATCAGAATAACAGAACTAAGTCTTGTCTTCTGTTGTATTGTTGGATGATGTGGGAGAACATATATTAAATGACTTCATACTGTTGCTACATATAAAAGTTTCTCTTTAGCTTACTCTGCAGTTTTTTAGTGGGGTCTGGGTCAGTGAACTAGGATGGCTACTGCAAAGGCTTAATTCTATGGTCACTGAGCTATTTTTGTGTAGATTTAAGCACTTCGAATGGGATGAGTTTTACCAGAGGAGGTCTGATACTGTAATATAGGAGTGATTTGAGTGGCCGATTTGTACGAGATAAAGAATCTCTGCGATTTCTTCAAATTATCCCAAATAGCCCAGATTGAAACATCATCACGCAGACATTTAAATCAGCATCATGAGACCGGCGCCACACTTCTGAACAGTGACAACACGATGTGTGGCTAACTGGTGTATAGACGAGCATTAGGATAGTAAAATGGGCTCATTCTACGTACCAAGACAGAAAACGTCTTATGAGAGGAACTTTCGAGATGTTTCATTTTTCTTCTCCTTGTAATTTGGCCATAACCAAAAATGTGGATTTCAGTAGTCTTGTCATGAACTTGAGCTTTAATGGTCAAATTGAGCTTCGGTTTAGCTGATAGCCATATCTTTTAAAAAAAAAAAGAAAATAAGGGAAGACACGGTTTTCTACATAGCTGAAGTCAACCTCTTATTTGCCAGCCTCTTGCTTGAATTTTCTCTTTCCACCTTAATTCGTGCAGCAGTTATTGAATTTGAACAAGATGCTGGCAAATAGAAAATTGGTGCGAATAAGAAAGAAATATAAAGAGTAATGGGAAGATTTGAACAAGGAGCTGGCGAATAAGAAGCCAACTTCAGCCTTGTCTGTTTTCTATTACCCGGATTTGGTATTACGTTACTGAGATGCCAATTCTAACAGGACTACTGTTACTGACGGAGCTCTGAGTTTGGTGAATTACAGAAGGTACTACAGACATGGCAGATTCATACTGGGTTAAAATCACAGAGCTCATCAACAGTCACTCAAATTACATCACATCCTCAGGTAATACTGATCCCTTTTGGATAGAGCTTTAGATTTAGGCCTTGGATCATCGTTCTTCTTGAAGCTCCAACCATGGCCCAGCCTTTAGCCTCCTGGCAGAGGAAGCTTTGATCTAAAATCTCCTGATATTGAGCTCACCTAGGGCCTCTGGAAAATATCAGTTCTAAAAAAACATAACAGATCCACCCCTTTACTTTACAAGAGAAATTAGGTTCTTTTCTACATGACTCTGCATGAAATACAACTTTGTTTGTTAAAAAGCTCTATTTTTATCTCATTTGACAAAAGGAAAGGATGTTTAGTGAACACCAGGCCCTTACATTTCTGATTTTATGACAGCAGTGAGCGTCTGGCAATGTATCCTTTGTGTTCTCTTCCAAACTGGTTCTTCATAGCTCCAGTTGTTTGAGAATTCTTTATCGTTGTGGAGATGGATATTTGAGGTTTTTATAGCCATTGCCTAATTTATGAAAGTCAGTAATCTTTAGCCATGTTTCATTTCCCCATGTGTTGGTAATGGATACGGTTGTTAAGCCTGCATTTAAGTTTTTACAGGGATTTCAATGGATTGTGGATTTTTTATGTGAGTTTGTTTTTTTTTCTTCAAATAATTTTGCCTTGTATGTATTTTAAGCAGAAGATCAAGACCAGAGACAATGTTTAATACCATTTTTACTAATGTTCAGTAATTCTGGAGAAAAGTGTACAGGCAAGAAGTTTGCTGATACCCAGGCATTCGCTGTCATAACTGCAATGTAGTAATAAATACTCAGGCCAAAAATCAATGAATAAAAAATACTGACTCTGTTTACTTCCTGTCTGTGCTACAAATATGCCTCACCAAGCGCTTTGTATCAGCAAAACATATAATTAAATTTTAAGCTCAAATGTCATTGCAGTGCGGTCTGGGTGGTTTCATAATGAAAGGCTTGAGGAGAATACTAAAATTTACTATGCATTTACATTTGTTTTTGTTTACATTCTGGACTGACAGTCTGACTACACACAGTAAAAACTTTTCAGCAAACTCAAATCATAATATAATAGCTTCTCTTCTGTGTGAGTATAAATGTGCTATTGATTAAAAGTTCGGAATCCACACTTTTGACAGAATTTCTCAGCTTGTTTTAATAAACATAATAAGCGATAATCTAAATTTACAGCATACTTTTTATCACAACTGGTAAGTGCAACTATTAATTGGCTTATTAACAGAATAACTGTTAGTAGAAAAAGAACCATAAGAAGAACGACAATGATTCACTAACAATTCACTTTTCAGTCAGTTTTTGCGGAAGCTTCTCACTCTAAGACAGGCTCAGATTTGTTAAGTGGCTGTTTCCATCTGTCTCACCTTGATGATGCTGATTATGTCTTTCTTTTACTATCTGTTTAGGCTCTGCGGGTGATGGCGAAGATCATGAGGGAATGCTGGTATGCTAACGGGGCAGCCCGCCTCACCGCCCTGCGCATCAAGAAGACGTTGTCCCAGCTCAGTCAGCAGGAGGGCATTAAAATGTAGGCCTGAGACCCCGGAGAGGCACTCACCTTAGCATCTTATCATTTTTGAGTATGTTTATTATAAAGGTCATCGTTGTTATTCTTATCCGTGGTTATTGCATTACAACTCTGTGTCCTCCAAGTTCAAGGCAGAGAGAGGACATGAGCACTAGGAATGAAGGTTTGTTTGGATTTTTTTTTTTTCTTTTTCTTTGGCTTTGACTGAGAGTGAGCTAGCTGCTGAAACCTCACTCTGGGCTTCTGAGACTGAAACCCATGGACTCTTTTTGGAGCCGGCACCCCTTTCAGCCTCACTGTCCGGATGAACATGCCGCGGTAAAGCCCATGTCCATTTTTGGTTGCATCCTCTGTCTTGCCTGCCCGCTGCGCTGTCTGGAATGGCCCCGATCCAGTTGAGATGTTTTATATTCAAGCAAAGCGCCAGACATTTTGACAGTGACTAAGGACTTTGGTGCAGGTCGTAACTTGTGGGCGGCATTGTGAAATATTCATGCTATTGTTTTGTCTTCTGCCAGTCGGGCTGGATTCACTGAAGATCTGCTGTGAGATGGGGTGATTTTTTTTTTTTCCCCTCTCCTGACTTGGGTCATTTAATGGTCAGGTAGAATTTGTTTTTCTTGTTCAATTTGCACCTTGTTTATCCTTCTCTCTTCATTGCTTTTTTTCTCCCCCTTGAGTAATTTATTTATCATAAGGGTTTTTTTTCTTTTTCTTTTTTTTTTTTTGGGCAACAAACTGGACATGACCTCATTCAGTCTTGGCAAACATGCTGCGACATATGCAATATAGATAAATCCTATCTATTTTATATCTTAAATGTTCTGCTACTACTACAACAGTTCAACAGCTTTGATGACAACCATGCCCTTCAAGCCAGGTGTTACCGGAAAGTGCCACTGCTTTAAACCAACCTTCCCTCATGATGTGGACCAGTCCCTTAACTTCGCCATCCGTCTCAACATTAAGAACGACGCCGCCAGAGAGATTATAGAAGAGTCCCTCGTGGAATCTCGTCTCTCTTATGCACACGGAGCGAATGCTAGCATGGGACCGCCACGCAACAACTTGCTGGTGCCATTTCTTCTGTTTTACAGCATCATCATCATCATCATCATCAACATCATTATCAGCATCATCATCAACGTCATCATCACCTTTGATGCAGCATTGAGGGATGTTTCAGCTCAGACCTCAGTTCATCCTCACTAATGTAGACCACCAGCCCAGGTTACTGGGTGATTATTTAAAAGGGGATGAATGCAGATGGGTGCCACGTCGTACACTTGCTCGTCCTCGGAATTGTCATGCGATTTTCCCATTTCCGGGAGAGGATGCTGTGGGATCTGATGTGGCCATGCTGGCTTTTTTCCCCAAAATGCAGACTGTTTTCTTCCTTGCTGAGAAGCGTTGATAGACAGTTGCTACAACTCGAGTAAACAAAGCTACTCTCACAGACTCATAAACTCTCGCTTTATGCGGAAGACAGAAAACTCTGAGCACTGCGCTCATTCAGATGTTTGAAGTCGAACACATCAGCATTACTCAAGTTGCCCTGTAAAGAAATGTATTTCTTACGCTACCTTTTTTGTTTGTTTTGTTGTCAGTGCTGCAAAGCTGATGGGGTACATTTAAATATATAGCAAATGGATATTTACTAAGCCATAGATCCTCCAACATTTTATGGCAACTTTTCGTGTAGAATGTAAATTTCAAGAGAGAAAAAAAAAACGTGCTGACTGATTCAAATCTCCGTTGAGCAAGCCTTATGGGACCAATACAATTGGGTTCATTCCTATTTTGCAAAAAAAAATGAAATTGATCATTGTTAAACAGGTTGATATTCTATTTACAGGAAGACTGAAATGTAGCACCAAATCTTGCATTTTATATTTCTGTAGAAGAAAAGGTACCTTATTGCCACACAAATGAGCTTGCGGTCAGGGAAGCAAACCTGAGCGGTATTCTAATATTGCTTCACGAAGCTGCGTTTATTAATATGAATTAAAAAGCGTGCATATCAGAATGAATTTGGCTCAAGGATGATTGTGGAATGTGTTTTTATTTCTTTTCTATAAAGCATCCATTTTTTGAAGATGTGCTTGTCGAAGCATGGCACCTGACATGTTAATCAAGTGGAACTCTTTGTCTTTTCAATGTGTCTGTTCTTCTTTTCTTTTCTTTTTTTTTGGCACTTTAGAGTGAAATGTAAGTAACGTCCAGTGACCAGGGTGGCCTCTGAATAAGCGTGCATGTTGATATTGGGTATCCTGGCAGCTGATGGTCATGATTATGCATAAGCCCTTCGACCCTTCAACGCCAAACAGTGGGTAAAAATCTGGTTTGTAATTCAGCAATAAGAGCGTGTGCATGTTTATTGGTGTGGCAATAGGGTGTTGATTTGTCTCGCTTCTTTCCAGTGGTCAACCACTCGGATGGATTGTATCTTAAGACAACTTTGCTGCATTTTCTGACTCTGTACAGGAGCAAAAGACGATTGCAGCAGTTCTGTGTGTGCTGAACTAATTATGAATATTCGTCTATATGAACTGCAATGTACTTTCAGCCTGAGCCCCATTCCTGAATTTGTCATTCCACAGTCCTTGGCGACTTACGCAGGCTAACCTTTCATGTTTCTTTTCGTGTGTTGGATTCAGATTTACGCTACAGATCTGTTAATAATTAACAGAAGAAGCTTTTTGTCAGGTACCGCACCTGGTGTTATTTGTCTGTTACTCTATCCTCTCTTTGTGTTACTGTAGATTTAGTGGAGTGATTTTACACCAACCAAGCTAAAGACAAGGATCACTTTACTTATTTTAGTCCTGTGATGTACGATCCCATTCCATGTAAAGAAAGAGTGCTGTTGGGTCAGTCACTGGCACACATGCATTGAAAAGTATTATTCTGTTTCTATTCTTGCTCCAGTACAGTGAACTATATCATTTTTTTTGTCATAAATGATTCCTAATACATGCTAAACTAAAATGTACAAATCTTGAATGGAGTAGTTTTACGAACGTGTGGGTAGGAGTCTGTATAAATATGTATATTGTAAATAGATATCTACGTATATTTGTAACTTGTCTGTTAGCCTTGTGGCCCCGCGCCACATACAGTCGGTCAACAGAAATTGGACGTTTTAAACACGAAGTGAAAGTTAACCCAGTATGGTAGTGGGCAGTGCCAGGAGAAAGTATGAGCTAAAAAAGGAAAGAAAATGAGACGATTCTGGGAAGGCCCTTTGAGAGAATGTGAGCTTAATCATACTTTCTGGGACAAACTTTTCTAACAAAACTTCTGTTTCTCATCATGCCACTGCAAGCCGTTACTGGGCCAACGTTCATCTCCGTCTGACACATTTCTGTCTTAAATCACCAGCAGCCTTTTCGTTCCAAAATTCAGTGGTGACCTACTTAGCCGCAAAACATGCATATCCAGGTATTCCTCACAGTGACATGCAGGTATACTCTCGGCCTCTGCGGCCGAAACCACACCAGCTATGACTTAACAGAAAAAAACCATACCGCTGCACCTCTGGTTCCATGCGATCGGGCGAGACCAGGAGGGCTGCTTTCAAAGGAGCCGCTCACTTCACCCCGTAGTGTCCTGTAGCTAGGAGATTTTCTACTCAATACCATCAAATACAGATCCGGTAGGGAGCTGTGGGCCGTTTGGGGCGGGTCCTCGCCTCCTCTCTCCCACTCCAGCTCTCTCGGTCTCGCCCCGTGCTGCCGATTTCCCTCTCGATGTCACCGACTTCTGTGCCTCCTCCTAACTCATCTGCACCCGAGGATACATCCATACCGGCAGATTAGACTTTCTGATTGACAGCGGCCGTGTTTTCAGTAGCCAGTGCAGGTGACGGAGAGGTCATTTCAAGTCCTCTTAACGTGACCCAGACTCCAGCGCACCCGCCTGCTCATTAAAATGACTGTGCTGTGTTTTTATTTTCCTTTCTGTTGACATGTTCTGTTTTCTACGACGCAGTATGCAGTCTTTCCGTACAACCATGCACAGAATTTTTTGCACAAAGGACTTGTTCGCTTTGTCTGTTCATGGCTATTGTGTGGTCTAATTGAGCAGACGTAAACGTCTTGCCTGAAATGCGACGGGACGTGAATGTAAACCGCTCAACATTCCCGCAGTGCACCGCCAATTACAGCACAAACTCGCAGTGTAATTTCAATAAAGGTCATGCATATGCCGTTTAAGGGCATAACAGAAACACACGGGTCTTTACACTCGGTTATGCAAATTTGTATGGCGACACAGTCCTCAGGCTTTCCGCTGGCAATCGCCAAGTTATTTATTACAGTTCAATTCTATATCTATGCCAACATCCGGACACTGTGAGGAAGACCCTCGAGGGACGGTGGGCCGGTAGCACCAAAAATCATGACCAGATACGGAACAGTAAACAGTGATTTTGGGGGGGGGGATGGTGAGGAGTTCCAAATGCAGGAGTCTGGGTCACTAATGGACTGAGAAGCCAACCAAGGTGCTTTTCACTTGGTCAGTGTGAGTGCGTGTGCGGGTGTGTGCGAGTGTGTGTGTGTGTGTGTGTGTGTGTGTGTGTGTGTGTGTGTGCGTGTGTGTGTGTGTGTGTTTTGACTGCTGATTGTGAGTACATTGTGGAAAGGTAGAAGAAAGCTTTATCAAGTTTTATTTGGTGCCTAAGTTTGACTATATTTGTTTTTTTTTGTATTCCACTTAGAATGATGCACTGCATGTGACTGATTTCTAATGTTTGCATCATTTGCTTTTTAAAGAAATTATTAAAAGAAGAAAAAAAGATGAAAGGATTAATTAATACATTTTAAAAAGGTCAGAAAAAAAATCCAGAGAGAAAAAAAAAAAAAAATACATACCTCCTCCGAAGACCAATGTGTTTTTACCTCAGTGTATATATTCTATTTGTTTACTTAAAGTTTGCAATTTTGTTTCTATGAAATGCTAAATTGAAGAATTTCACTTTTGTGTCAGTGGTACTTCTATGTGGCATTGTGTCGTTCTTGTGTCCAAAACAGAATATTCTTTCTTTGAACCATAATCTGTACTTTATTTCTCTGTTTTTTTTGTTCTGTCCGAGTTGTAAGTGCTTTACAGACATCAGACTATGTCCTTTTAATGCCTCTTTCTCGACTATGTAGAAAATGCCTTGTGTACTTTTTTTTCTTAAAAAAAAAAGGAGGATAAATGATGACCGGTGGTCAGTAGTGAATTGGTTGCTGAGAGAGCTCTCATGTGGGATACAGCTCTGTACCCCACTTGACTTCTAAAGCATTATGTATAGACTTTTTTATAGCGTGTACAGACGTACAAACGAACAACATAGGAACATAGGAGAGTGACGCTGATGTGCCATTCTAACATAGTGGACTAGAAATGGGTGTGAATAAAAAGAAAAAAATGTTCAACTTTGATCTTGTTCTCTTTTTTTCTTGTATTTAACTCAGTGGTTGTAAAGATGTCATGATTTTTCAATACTGATACTTAGTGCTATATTATAAAATCTACTGCGCATCTACTTAATCTTTAATCTAATTAAAGAAGAATTTCACAAATTCTACTTTTTTTCAAAATGCATGCATAAATAAATATAACTGAGATGTAAACAGTCATTCGGAGTGCTTTGATGTAAAATGCTCTGTTCTAGAGAAACGAGAGTCAGAATCATTCACAGTGGTTGTGATGGGAACCAAACGTCTGAAGTGTCTAATTCCTATAAAAGCTCCCTCACAGTAAGCTACTATACAAAATGGTTATGAAAACATGGCCTGATTTCATATTGTTTTTTTAATACATTCATATTCATATTTTTGTAAATACATCCATGGTATATGCAGGTACATGCATGGTGTTATAAGGCAAACGGGCCCCCAAAGAAAACCTGTTTTTTTTCTGGTTTATCAATATTTTACCCTTATCAACATTACATGGATAAACTCAGAAGACACAGGTAGGTCCATTGGTGGTTTTGGATTGTAAATAAAATGCACATATTTGCATCATAGACATCACATTCTCTGGTTTCTGTCACAACCACTAGGAGAAAAACTGAATTAAGTTTCTCTAGATTGACACATTTCACATCAAACCACTCTGAATGACTTGGTTCACATCATAATGAATGAATTATGCACAGCTTTTGAAAAATCAGTGGAATTGCCTTTCAGACTACTCAAACACAAGAGTCTGTGCTATTTCAGGACAGATGTGCAGAGTTTCAAGGCTCTTCTGAATAGTGTAGGAATGATGGGTTTGTTTTACTGGGCTTTGTTCTTTTGTACGACGCCGTCCAAAGAGAAAGGAGCAGCTTTTGTCTCTGTTTTTAGAGATAATTGCATTTTTTTGGAAGCATCTTCGCTTTTTATTGTTTTTTTAAACACGATGGCCACAGTAGGAACTGTTAATACTTTGTGGTGGGTTTTCAAAGGGGGTCATTTACTTGAAATGATCGTGGCTTTTGTAAAAGACAGCATGGA